GGTGGTTGTGTTTGCAAGACAATGCTGGTTGTGTTTGCAAGACAATGCTGGTTGTGTTTGCAAGACAATGGTGGCTGTGTTTGCAAGACAATGCTGGTTGTGTTTGCAAGACAATGCTGGTTGTGTTTGCAAGACAATGGTGGTTGTGTTTGCAAGACAATGGTGGTTGTGTTTGCAAGACAATGGTGGCTGTGTTTGCAAGACAATGCTGGTTGTGTTTGCAAGACAATGGTGGTTGTGTTTGCAAGATGATGGTGGTTATGTTTGCAAGACAATGGTGGTTGTGTTTGCAAGACAATGGTGGCTGTGTTTGCAAGACAATGGTGGTTGTGTTTGCAAGACAATGCTGGTTGTGTTTGCAAGACAATGCTGGTTGTGTTTGCAAGACAATGGTGGTTGTGTTTGCAAGACGATGGTGGTTATGTTTGCAAGACAGTGGTGGTTGTGTTTGCAAGACAATGTTAGTTGTTTTTGAAAGACAATGGTGGTTGTGTTTACAAGACAATGGTGGCTGTGTTTGCAAGACAGTGGTGGTTGTGTTTGCAAGACAATGTTAGTTGTTTTTGAAAGACAATGGTGGTTGTGTTTGCAAGACAGTGGTGGTTGTGTTTGCAAGACAATGTTAGTTGTTTTTGAAAGACAATGGTGGCTGTGTTTGCAAGACAATGGTGGTTGTGTTTGCAAGACAATGCTGGTTGTGTTTGCAAGACAATGGTGGTTGTGTTTGCAAGACGATGGTGGTTGTGGCAGCAAGACAATGTTAGTTGTTTTTGCAAGACAATGGTGGTTGTGTTTGCAAGACAATGCAGGGCATTAGTCTCCATGCACCATACTGTCATGGCATGCAATATTTCACTTACTTCTGTCTAAATATCAGAAGAAATCATGAAATGAGAATCAGTGATCAGTAAAGTAGAACACTAACAATGATGGTGAGGGCGCTATGATAATAATTTTCTGAATAGCAGCATACAACAATCTGAATATAAAAACTATGTAACAAACAGTACAAACCAGCTCAAGGTACCATATATGCAGGTTTTACTAAGTTTTATTTTAGATCAACAGACAGTACTATAGCGTATCTGTGTAGGGCAGAGTTTTTCATCAGTTTAGAAAGTATTCACATCAATGAGTACTTGAGAAAATGGCATCAAGTATTTTGTTTCCCTTATACCACATTTGTTATTAGAATCTCATCTTTGATAGCAGTGCATTAAACATTACTTATTTCGACCACTGTAATTCATGTAAATGTGTGTGCGAAAGTTTTAGAACACTGATTTTGTATCTGCCATGATTTTTGTATCACCTTTTGACCTATCGTTGTGTCCTTTGACCTGATAGGTCAAGATGCCATTACCGAATCAGAATACCAAGTGGTACTCCAAATAGCATTCAAATATTTGCAATACACATTACGAAAATAAAATATTAATTATTAAAGTTACAGTATAATCCAATGGCGATGAATGTTTTTTAAGATGCAATTAGCACTTCTTTAAAAATGAAAAGAGTAAGGAAATAGTTTTTAGCTGTCATGACGATATTAAACAGATGAAATATAGTTTACACATTCATGCAACAAATCTGCTGGACTTTTTTTACCGTGTCGTTTTCATAATCTGTATTTCAATTTATTTTGACGGGAATGATGCAGAAGTCATTATAAAAAGTGTGTCCAAGTTTTGACATGTGTTGTCACGTTGCATATCAAACGTGGAGTGGTATGACGACTGCAGTGGTTCAACAGCAATAATCTAATCAAGCACACATTCTAATAAACGACTGTCAAGTAGAAAATCCAAAGTTTCTCATAAAACCTATCCACCGACGATTATGTCAACATAGTCGTTACATCAACTCAATATGTAATCTCTAAATATTTTAGTAGGTGATACTTACGGGAGAGGGATAGCAAAGGAGACATCTTGTAATTCTAGATCATCCTGTTCTAAAGTATATTCCATATTAACGTCACACCCACCTTCACTGTTTTCCGATGGCCAGCAGTTTACTTGATAAAGAGTAAACATAGAATTATTATGACAAAAAATACATAATTTATTCTCAATAAAAATTTTTATGACAAAGTTCTACAATTTCATTATCTTTCCTGATACATGAACATCTGTCTCACTAATTTTAAACATTTACAGCACAAAATATTTCATAAAACATAGTTGAACTCTGGTGACAAGTTTTGGGGTTGAACCAACAGTGGGGAATCAGTCTACCGAATGTCCTTTAAAGATGTAAATATCTTACAAAAACATTGGTGCCTTATTTGTTTAATTATTTTAAGGGACATAATTTCCAGCTTTATTCAAAGTAATTCAGATATTTTAGTATAAAAACAAATGCCTCATCTGCATTTAGACGTGAATAGATTCATAAATCATGCAAGATAACAGAAAATCTTAGCTGGCTTTTGTCCAAGTATTTTGTACAGGTGTCTGTCAAAAATTAATGATTCACTGAGACAAATATGAACTGCCTTATTATATTCATTGTGTGACTACTGTATTATATGAAAAGTAAAACAAAAACACCCTTTATGAATAGCTATCATGTTGCAAGCTCTGCTTTGTATGCAAATCAACTTAAATAGTTAGCTGGTGTCCAGTGGAGGAAGAAGTCAACAGTACTGTTGCCTCCTGAGAATCTACATCTTCAAACAATGCAATCTTTGAAGTGCGTTTTTAAACCAGTATTATAAAACCTCTATCATTCTGTTCTAATAGCTGAAACATATTCCTGTGAGTTTTCATTTGTCGAATGAACTGTTTGTCAAATACAGAATACATGTACATATATTTTAGAACAATTTTCTTTTTAAAATGTGGATGAAATGTTTTGCTTTTTATGTATTTTTTATGTATTGTTTTTGATTTGATAATTTTGAACTAAACAGATTTTCTATTAGCTTCAGATCTTGATCAAAGTTTGGCACCCAGTTCATAGGAGTGCTTATATTGATTTTCTGACATCTTGTTTTCTGTAAAGATTTTATTGGTAGGTTTGCAAATGTGTATCAGACTGTGCAATCTCTCCATGAGTTGGTTTTGAAATCCAGTATGGGATTCTGAGATACATTACCAAGGATATTATTACAAGATAAATCATTTGCTTCATTGAACACATACAACAATGCATATTTCCACTGAGATCAGTGACTTTTGATGTGTATCACCAGTGATCAGTCAAGTAGAAACAGTCAAAATATTTTATCAGATTTTCTCAATTTTTGCATGATATTTCCATACAGGACATTGTTGTTCAAACGCGGGGAAGACTTTATATTGATGAATAAGGTGACCAAGTTTGATGAAGTTTGGAATAGAATTAATAAAGTTATTATGCACACAATAACAATTATTTACGATGACGACAACGACAACGCCGGAAAATATAATACTGTATTTGTTTTATTAGAAGCACATCTCTAATAGAAGAACATATAAATCGCATTAGTTGTCATAGAAACACCTCTGTAATTTACATAAGTGTATGCACTACAATAGAGCAAATACAGTTACATTTTTTAAGATTCAAAGAAACAAGCATTACAACATGGATTGAAGTAGAGCTCTACTTATAGTAGTGTATACTTACTTGATAATGGCATATAGGAGTCATCCTGTGTTTGCAGTCTCCATTTTAAGACTCCTACATCATTATTTAATGGGAATGGTTTGGCGGGATTCTTCATTCCAATGGAAGAGTTGGCTGCAAACAGCTTTTTGTCAACATTGGGATGTGTCTAAAATAGCAGAATGTATATCAAGAATACACAAATAAGTTCATGCCACTCAACAGCTTGGTATAAAATAAGCAGCCTCTCGGCTGCGATTGCTCCGCTGTCAGCAAGGCACATTTCAATTAAAGAACTGAAGATATCATTAGAAAATGAACAATATGTTTAGTATGTATAGCAATCGGACTTGCCGTTTTCAACAAGAATTCAAAAATATCACTTTTTACCAAAAATGACATAAATATTCACCAAAATTAGGGAATTTAAGATATCATCACGAAATGAACAATCTCAGAAAGGTCCACATGTAGCATCTATACATGTATATGTAATATCAAAGCAATTGGACTATTTGTTTTTAACAAGAAGTCAAAAATATCACTATTTACCAAAAATTACAAAAATATTCACCAAATTAGAGAATTGAGGATATCATCACAAAATGAACAAATCTGAGAAAGGGCCACATGTAGTACCTATATATGTAATATCAAAGCAATTGGACTTTTGGTTTTCAAAAAAAAGTCGAAAATATCACTTTTTACCAAAAAAATGACAAAAATATTCACCAAAATTAGAGAATTGAAGATATCATCATGAAATGAACAATCTAAGAGGTCTACCCCAGGTACATACACACCAAGTATCAAAGCATTCAGACTTGTAGTTTTAAAAAAAAGTAGAAAACGTAAAACATTGACAGGACAACGACGGACGCCTACGGACAATCACTCGTATGATAAGCTCCGCTCGACAAAGTCAACAGTGGAGCTAATAAAACATTATGTATAATGATGGAGCATAGACACTATTGGTGAAATACAAAGAAAATCAAGATGTTTTCTGTACATGTACCATCTTGGTTGTGATGTGCATGTAGTTCTGATTTTTACATTATTCAAAAAATTAGCCTCCAAATTGATGCATGTCTGAATATATTAAAAACAGTTGCTATAAACCCATGTGATCTTTCCCATGCTAACAGAATATACTAACAAGTATGCCACACAATTGTAGGATATTTAGTGTAGAAAGAAGTTGGTCTTGTTAATTTTACAGGCTGCCCAGTGTATTTATAACGCTTATACAACATTCTACAGAGTATGTCTACATGCATGCTTATTTTATTCTACAGAGTATGTCTACATGCATGCTTATTTTATTCTTCCATTACAAACATTGATTATTACTGAATTCGTTGATTTGTTATGAAATGCAAGTAAAATTAAGCTATATTGTAAGCTCTATTAAAAGAGCAACTCCAATAGAAGTGCACATAAAGCAAAAATCACTTTTGCTAAAATCCATCCTTTTTGGTTTTTATATGAATTGATAAAATTTGTATAATTGTGGGTTAAGTAGTGAGCTGCATTTTTACCAGGGCCAAAATATCTATGGCCAAAACATAGACCCTTCTAAAACCT